ACGTCCAGAGGCTGGGGCTGGTATTTCTGAATGTAGGGGGGGTTACCACAGCTTTATAATAAAAACAGGATAGCATTACACCACCAGCACCTTAAACATAAATATGGAAACATTAATTTAGAATCAATTTTGGGATGTTTCAGACTGTAAAGTTCTTTTAACTAGATCTCTGTTGAAGACAGAAGAGCACTTTATGGGACTGTAAATTTCATGCAAACGGTCTCTGTGAAATACAGATTCCCCCTACACACTAGCTGTTCTCTCAATATCAATCATATGCCTTGCAAGTAACGTTTCACAAATATTCTGTAAATCACAGGAAAATGCTCGCAATAATGTGAAATATGACTTTCACTTGACTGTTTCACCAGAGGCCCCTAACAGGCCATTCTCCTGTCAGCACTAACATTTGTTATGGCTAATAACATTTTCAATCACAACTATTTTGGGAAAATGGATTTATTTTAAACCTGCTTCCTCACAAAGGAGATCCTGAAAATGCCCTGCCAAGGACACAGACTCCTTACAGAGCACAGACCGTTAATTCCCAAATGAAATTTCATCTCATCTTAATTCCCAAACATCGTTTCTTAGCCAGCTTTTTGAAGACTTTGTTTGTTTGTTTTCAGGCACTGAGGTACATGTTCACCTCTCGATCATTGTTTTCAGTCTGATTCAGATAATACCAATAGAAAGTTACTTTTGAGCAGGTATCTTGGGGATATTCTGGAACTGATCTGGAATTTTGCTCCAGATTCTAGGAAAAAAGGCTTAAGAACTTTGTAGATAGGAAATTGGTAATCTTGGCAACTTGTGGAAAGGAACTTCTTATTCTGAAACCCAAAGATTTTGTGTCATTTTAACTTTTTTTTCTCTTAAACCACACTTTAAATAAAACCTAGAATGGTGCTTTTCTTCTGTAGGAAGTCCAAGAATTGTATTAGACAAGGTGTGAATTCCTTTCTTAGGCATGTTGGTATGTCCTAGTGGAGGACAATGCACCTGCGTTCATGCAGATGTCCATGACCTTGACCCTCTTTCTGCATCTGTGTGTGTACACAGGTACTGATGTTTAACTGCGAGGCTCCTTGAGATTGGTCAGTGTCTTAAAGCCAAACATGTACATGTCCGTGGAATTCTCACGAATGAATGGAGAGCTTAATCTTCTGGCATTTCATCCCCCTACTATGTGCACCTTCACATTTGTCAAGGTGGAATTGGGGGTATCATACTGAGCCAAAAGCGTGCCAAAGAAATTTGGCAAAATATAGATTGCTTTATTTAACACCCATGTGAAGGGCTGGAAGGAAGTGCAGGCAAGGGGTGTTTCTGGAGTTTCTTCTTGCCTATAGTTCTCACCATTTCAGGTTTTCTTAGATTGTTTAAAAACATGCCATAGAAATTAGATAAGAAAAAAAAATGAGAGCATGTCTGTCATGCCAAAGGGTCCCAAAGCGCTCTCCCACTGCCAGGGCCAAGCACATCTTCCTGGAGTGGATGTGAGTCCAGCCCAAACGACTGTCGCTCCATCAGCTGAGTGAGGGCACGCCGCGCTGCTGTGCTAACAGGCACTTACAGCCCCTTGACCCTGTCACTCCCCATAAATCCATACCTATTTGTGCTCTCATTTCACCCTATTTGTTCTCTGGCAGGTCAGATATGAGATGCAGTGTTCATATCATGAGGCTAGTGAGAAACCAACGCTGGGGTAATGGGTAACATCAAAATGACTTTATTAACAGAGCAGAGAAGAGAGCTCCTGTGGTGAAGCCACCTGCCTTGGAAAATAATCTCAAGTCTGTCGCAGATTCATTGTGCAGCTTCAGACATACCAGGAACTCTCCTTTTGCCTCAGTTTTCCTATCTATGAAATGAGTATAAAGGAAAATGAGATTAAATTAATAGCTAGTAAGTGCTTTAATATTATTTGCCAGAGATTTTAAATGTGATTCTGGTGGTAATTCTTTAGTATAGACTTTTTCTATCTTCAAAGCCCTTTTTTAACTTCTTTCTCACTTTTCTCTAGGCAGAAGAGATCATGACTTCTGTCAAAGAGCAGGAAGCTGTCAGGAAGCTCACCATTTTCTTGCAGGAATGGGATAGTGCCCACAAAGTTGCTCGAAGCCACATCTTGGACAACTTCATTAAAAGCAATGACGGCAAGACAGAACCAGAGCTGGAGCTGGAGTTCTCCCAGGGAGCCAGCTTGTTTCTGGCTCGCCTAACAGCATGGCTCAGGATGACGTATCCCTTTCCTTGGACAGCTGGAGGTGGCATGTGGTAGCAGGATGGAGAGGAAGGGAAAGTTCTCTACCGAAAATTTGTTCAAAGAATAAGGTTCTGTATGGAGACATCCGTATCCAGCAGTGTTCTGCAGGGTTAAAAAAATGTGGATATCATGAAATTGAAGGGCAAGTCACGTAACCTGCCTCTAGGGGACCTAGAATTAGTGGGTTTTCTCATATTGGGATGAGCGTGCTGCCTCTGCACGCTGTGAGAGGAAGGTCCATGCTCTCTCGCAGAGCAAGTACCCACTTCAGACCTCCACGTTGCCAAAGGCTGTCTGGGGGACACCACGATGGTCTGTACATCTCTCCTTAGCCTTGTCGACCAGCTACATGTACAGCACATGCCTCAACAAGCTGCTCAAGTCCATTGGCATCTTCTTATCTGCTGCAAGTGGGTGAGTACGGAATGTCACCATGTGAGAGGTGCCGTGGGGAAGGCACACAGGGTGAGGTGGGGAGCAGATAAAGAAAATAGCAAGTCCTTGGCAGTCTTTGGGGAGGGCTGCAGAAGCATTTCAGGCAAGGTAGGCCCCAGTGAGGCTTGCAGTAGGAATTTCAAATGCTCTCAAAACCAAATCCACTGCTTGTGGGTGTCTCCAGAGCCACCGGGTCACTGACACGACAGGGAAGGAGTGCAGTGAGAGTCTGGGTGTGGAGACGGGGCTTTCCGTGCCTGTGGTTTGATATCTGAAATGAGCCCAGGGTAAAAGGGGAGATGGTGGCCTGCTGGCAGCAAAGCGTGCTGCTGGCAGGCATCTGCCTCTGCAGTCCAGGCTGAGCCTCCTTGTGCTCACTGCCCCGGGAACCAGGCGCTTGCTGCAGTCAGGCAGGAGGTGATGGTCCCCAGGAGCACGGCGTGCTGACGGAGGAAGATGGGCTCCAAGGCAGGTGACGCTTTTGGCTTTTTTCCCCCTCTCCTTGCAGACGCAGATACCTTATTGAATTTCTGGAGATCGGAGGTGTCTTGATTCTCCTGGAAATACTAGGGCTGCGCCACCTGAAAGAAGAGGACAAAAGGCAGTCTGTAAAGCTGCTGCAGCTCGTCGCCAACGCTGGCAGGAAGTATAAGGAGCTCATTTGTGAAAGCTATGGTAGGCGGTGTGTCCATCCATGCTTTTTCCTAATTCAGGTGAGGACGTTCTCCCTGACCTCTGGCCCCCGGGGCTGCTCGCGGCGCTGAGCCACTCCCTTCCCTCCACTGCCGGGTGGCAGATTGCCGCAGCGTTTCTCTGGCTGGAAGGAGTTCAGAGTCCCAGCTATTGTTGAGCAGTTGCATTTCATCCCCTCTCTCAGTTTTTAATGAGCTCGCTTTCTTTACAGTCATTTCTTTTGATGCAATATTGCTGTCCTGCTGGTTGCAACTGCTCCAGTTAAACCACAGAACAGTTTCCATTCTTACCTGCAGTGTTTCACCTCCTGCAAACTTTCCCAGACTTCCCCTCTGGGGAAGTGGGGAGGGTTTTGCGGCTTGTATCTTTTGAAAGAGCATTAAAACTTTTTTTTTTTTTCCCCCTGTTTTTTCTCCTGGACAGTGGAAGCCAAACCGTGTTAGTTGTTCTGTAGCTCAGGTTAGGTTGTCCAAGGCTATGGGGTGACACCTGCCGTGACAGCTTCCTCCAAGGGAGACGAAGCAGCAGGATCAGCAGAGGGACCCTTAGCAGCACTGCTGGCATCCCAGTGCCACATTCTGTGCTTGTGTAAATGCCTGCAGAAGGGCCTTGGCCACCTACTCCAGATGAGAATTTTGCCGACTGATTTTCCAGTTGGTGGTGTGGCTCCTGGCAAGGACAAAGAACTTTTTGCCTGGCTTCTGTTCTTTGACCTATGCTTCCAGTGGGATGTGGTGCTGGGTCTTCTTGGGGTATCAGCGAAACAGCCGAGATGGGTGACCTGCAGGCTCATCCAGACACACGACTTGGCTTCTCTTTCTCCGCACAGGAGTGCGATCCCTCGCCGAGTTCTTGGCCACTTCCAGCTCCGCAGAGGCTCAAGAAGACGTGCAGGTTCTGATGGGCTCTTTGGGCAGTGGCAATCCCAAGTACCAGAACCAAGTCTACAAAGGCCTCATCGCTGTGCTGCCCTGCGCCTCCCCCCGAGCACAGCAGCTGGCTCTGCAGGCACTGCGGGTCATGCAGGTGGGTGGTGGTGGGCCTGGCTGGGGACGAAGGGCAGGGTCAGCTCCCATGTCTGGGCCAGTCCCCTCGGTGTTGGGGGCTGCACTGGGCAGTCCCTGTGCCTGGAAGAAGACAGCCTGGAGTACCCCATAAGACTGTCCCTGTCACCCTGCCCCTTTCCCAGCAGGACACAGTGGGAGAGGCGCCCTCCGTCCTGGTGGAGCCTGTGCTGGGTGCGCTGTGCTCGCCACACCTGGAGGTCCAGTATGAAGGTAGGAGCCCTCGGCGGCCAAAGGGGTCTGGGGGAGGCCGTGGCTGGGGATGGGTAACTCCAAGCTGGAGCAAGTGGGGCAGGGATGCGGGGAAGGGCGGTGGGGACAGAGGGCGGGGAGAAGAAGCCTCGGCCC